TTAATACAAATATACAAATAGAAATTCAATAGAAATTTTTACATGTGAAAATTTCACATTCCAGACTTGAATCTAAGTTTGGCGCAACTCAATCTGTATTTATAAAATCCAATCTGTATTTATAAAACAAGAACTACCAAGTCTTTTATACATCCAATTCCGATTTTTGTGAAAGTCACTATTCTTAGAGATTCATAAAAATAAAATTAACATACTATTAAGTTATAGAATTTAAAAAATATTAAAAATATAAATGGAACAACCACAATATTCAATAACATACATAATACATATACAATCTTCATATAACATTAATAACATCCAAAATATGCTATTAAACAATTAATTAGCATAAATTCATTCCTCATATAAAAATTACAATATATAAATGATTAATAAGCACGATATTCATTCACTATAACTTTCAAGAATATAATTAATTTTTTTAAAAACAAATGACTAAATTTTGAAAAGCAAACCCTAATCTAAAATAATTATAAAATTAAAATTAAAATTGTAATAATAAACAAAATATGTTAACTTAAAAACCCCTAATGTAAGCAATACAATTATAATTAAAAACAAACTAATTCAGAAATTGAAATTGAATAAAAGATGAAAAAATGAAAAACAAAACCTGAGATTTCAAGTGGACGGTGACGGAAGATGGGTAGACGGCCGGCGGTTGATGGTGGCGGACGGAGAAGATGATCGGACAGCGACCGGCGGATGATGGTGGCGGAAGGCGTCACGGAGGAGACGAAACTACACAACAACTCTTTGTGGTTTCTGTCTGCGAAATCGGAGAAACTGAGAGGAGTTCCCGTTTTTAGATCTGTTTTTGGCGACGGATTTAGCGACGGAATTTTTCCGTCGCCAGCTCAAAACGCAGCGTTTCAATTATATTCTTTTACCGACGGAATTTTTCCGTCGTTATTTCCGTCGTCTAATATGCCGCGCACTACCTCCAGCCAATACGGAGCGACGGAATTCTGATTCCGTCGTAAAGTTTGGTAGGTGTAAAATTCCGTCGCTGAATCTGTCGTCGTTAGCGTCGAATTGCATTCTGTCGCTATAATCCGTCGTTTTTTTCGCGTTTTCTTGTAGTGATAATCCTAGCTTTCTCCATTCTTCACCAAATCCTTCAATTCTTCCTTTTATTTTGCTGCCTTGAGAGAGAAGAACACAATGGTGTTTTCAATTTCGTGAGAGGACGCCGGAGTTGAGAGCTTTTGTCGCCATAAGTTTTGTCGTTCTTTCGCCGGAATCTTTGTTAAGCTTAAAGGTAAGCCCGTAGATATATCTAATGATTGGAATGTTCATATAGGTCGTTTCTACATTCATAGATGGTCATTTGGTTGAGTTTGTGTTTGACATGCTTGAAGAACTAAGAATCATAAACCTTGAATTTGTTGTTAAAACTTCGAATTAATGATATTTAAATGACCTATGAACATTGAGAACATTTCTATATAGTTTAATTGAAGTTTGGTGGCCTAAAATGATTTTTCGAAAAACAAACCCGAGGTTGAAGATGAAGTACTGTTGGCTAGTTTGCAGGAATGGTCGACCGTTCTGCCACAAAGGTCGACCGTCCCTCCACCAAGGTCGATCGTTCTGAGACCAGAAACTCTAATACCACGGTTGCAATAACGGTCGACCGTTGCTTGAAAACGGTCGACCGTCCCGAACACAGTCAGCTACGAAAAATGTAATTTTTGAGTTCTAAAATCCTATTTTTGATACCAATTAAATATGATCAATATAAATATGATTTTGTACAATAAAAATGATATTTTTGACATATAAAACATTACGTGATGCATGACGGTAAGTTCGGGTGTTAACACTCGAGACTAGGCCGCTATTTGTTATTGAATGTATGTTGATTGATCATTACAATGAATAATTATTATGGATGATTATGAACCTACTGAGTAAAATGATTATTGATGATTTAATAATGACTAAAAATGGATATATTGGTAATCACGATGATGATGTATATTGCTAAGGATATCTAAAAAACTCTAAGATATACCACTTGTATATTGATGATGATTATTAAAGATATCTAGAAGAACTCTAAGATATACCTACTTGACCAATTCATATTTTGGGTTAAAACGTACGTACGGAATCCAGAACGGATATCACCCACCCGACAGATCACTGTTCGGTTTGGTACATAATCCACATGACTCATAGGGTGGATTATCAATTCTTGTGTTCTGCATTAAACTATTTATAGTTTAAGGGCCTGGTTAGAAATATTAGCTTAGATTAGGAATACCTAAGAGCTGATTATAAAATAATTTGGCCTTAGATTAAGAATAATTTAAGAGCACTGTTGAGATATTGAATATTGTATATATCATGAAATGACTTTGAATAAATATTGACAATATCATGAATGTTTGAATCATATATATTGTGTGCATGATATCAAATGGTTGATTATGAATTGAGATTCAATTTATATGGATGTTCGAGGCTTTAGATATGCTTACTCAGTTTCACCGTTGAGCGTGTAGTGTGTTTTATTTGCTACACGCAGGTAGGCAGAATGAGTGATTGGCTTAATCCTGGCAGCGGAAGGGGCGAGACAGTCGTGGTGGATTTATTGACAAAATAAGTGATTATGTTTGTTATGAGACATGTTTAAAAATTGCTTCCGCATTATTATTAAACACTCCATATTTTTACAGTTATGTATGGAATTTTATTTATGATGAATAAAGTTATTTGAAATGTTTTAAATTATACGATTACCAAGTTAATACTTTAGTCCGAAAGGGGCTGCAAACCTAGACGGATTATGGTGTTACAAATTCGGTGATGACACATGTCATGCCACACGTGCATACTACTGACATGTGTCATGCCACATGTAAATCACAAGACACATGTCATTCCACACATACATATTTAATTTTGTAGTAAATCATTATTTTTATTATATTTTATAAACCCTTCACTTTCCAACAATAAAAAACCCTTATGTTTGTTCATTTTCAAAAAACTTTCACATTCTAACTATTTTATAAATATTTTTGGTTGTTTTAACATATTTTTTAAATATGCACGACTATTTTATAATATTTAAAAAATTATATAAAATTTATTAATTAAAAAACTGTTTATTATAATTTTTAAAATTATCCATCATTTCAAAATAAACTATTATATACAAAATTTATCACACATGCATCTTTATTAAGTTCATAACATATTTTAATCTTTTTTCTTATTACATTATTTATTTTATTACATATTTTTTAGCAAACTAAACAAATTGAATGTTTAATTGAGGGATCACATGTGGCACATGACATATATGCATTTTCTAATGATGTGTCATTACTCACTTGATTTATTTGACATTTTTATTTTAATTTTTATTAATTAAAACAATTTTAATTATTTTTTATTTGATGACCATTGCATTTGTATAAAATTTAAAACAATTAGAAATTATTTATCAAACACATTATATATCATTATTAAAGAATTTAAAATAAATGATATTTTATTTTTAGATGTCAAAATTTTGAATATGTGTGAGCCCGTGCAAAGCACGGGGTTAATATTAGTTGAGTGTGTTCCTGATCTAAATTATTTTACTCATATTCTACTCTTTTAGAGATTTTTTGTTCTTAAATGATTGAGTGTTGTAAATACTTGAAGGGAGGTTTGTTCCCTTGGTTGTACAAAGGAAGGATATTTTCCTTCGAGTTGAAGTCTAGGAGTGCGATATCTCCGAGCAAGTGTGTTGAGGCTCGTGGGACTCGAGTTCTCATATTATAACGGTTTGTTAAGCATCCCGTAAGATTTAACGGAAGTAGTGTAGCTCGATCGAGTCTTTCGGGAGACTGGACGTAGCCACAAGTTGTTGTGAATAAGTGTATACCGGTGTGTTTTTCTTTACACTTTTAATTCCGTAATTTACTTTATCCCTGAAATTTGTAATCCGCAATTTATAAACATTCTAGTGCCTCACTATTTACCCCCCCCCCCTCGTGAAAGACACGTATATATTCTAACAAAGAAAATATTTTATTTATTATTATTCTAAAAATGTTTTTAAAATGAAAATATACCTATCATATAACACTTCTTTACTACTAATCTACCCATCACATATACTTTTACCTATCACATTCAAAGGCATTTTTAGAAAATCAACACCAAATTACATTTTTCTTAAATCTCTTAAAAATCAAAACAAGAAATGTTTTGTGAGACGGGGGAGTAGTATATCCAAAGCTTAGTATGAATGATATAATTTACGAGAGAGTCATACTACCTCCGTTCATGAGTGTTTATTCAGTTTTGACTTTTTTCAGTCAACCATTTTTAACTTTTGATCTATAATTAAATGAAATATATATTGTATATTAATTAAATAAAATAATATTTAAAAATATTTGAAATAATAAATCTAATAAGACTATTTTTATATCAATATCTAATAATATACTCTCTCCGTTCAAAATTAACTTTACATTACGCGTTACGATGTTTGACTGAAGCTATTTTTAAATCATTTCATATGAAAAATGGTGTAGAATTTAAAAATAAAAATTACATATTAAAAAACTATATCAAAAGATCTACAAAACTAGAGGTGACATGACTATATTATTTTATCAAATGGGTGACGAAAATAGGCCAACAAAGTGAATAAAGCTTGACCCTGTGAATAGTGAATGTAAAGTTTATTTATGGACGGATGGAGTAACTTTTTTAATTTGAAGTGAAAAATATAAAAATTTCAGCTGAAAAAAAATCAAAAATAAATAAATATTCAGGGACAAAGGAAGTACTACCTCCGTCCTATAATGATCTTCCCGGTTCGCAAAACGAAGAAAAATCCCAAATTTTTTCAATCTATTTTATTTAAATATTGGTATAGAAATAAAAAATAAAACATACATATTTAAAAAACTACACCAAAAGCAAAACAAGTGGTGACAAGAATATTTTATTTTATCATATAGGCCATGAAAAAACACAAATAAATATAAATTTCCGTGAAATTGAAATAATGCTCTGGGAAAATCGTTATAGGACGGAGGGAGTAATTGTTAAACTATAGAGTTGGAGGATACTGAGGAAGGTGTTTCTATTTACCGCGTACGGAGTATTTTACTTTATTTATAAGAAAAAAATGGTTTGGTTCGAACTCGTTTTGGGCGGGTGGGTTTTGAAGCTTGCTTCCTAATGGTCCATTGAAAGGTGACACGGATCACCAAATAGCGTTTCTCGGCCGTCGATTAACCTCAAATCAACGGCCGAAAAAATCCCATCCCAAAACTGAGCCGCCACTCTGAACCAACTATAAAAGGACAGACGAATCCAAACTAGAAATTTCATTCTCAGACCCATTTGATCTCTCTTCCACAATTTAAATTCAGTTTGATAATATATATTCCGATGGATTCTCTGCCGACGAAGGTCAACAAGGGTGTCGCCGGCAGGAAGGCCGGCGGCCCGAGGAAGAAGTCGGTCACTCGCTCCGTCCGTGCCGGGCTTCAATTCCCGGTGGGTAGAATCGGCCGGTACCTGAAGAAAGGTCGCTACGCCCAGCGCGTCGGTACCGGCGCTCCCGTCTACATGGCCGCCGTTCTCGAATACCTAGCCGCCGAAGTAAGTTCCAATTCCGTCTTCCATCCCTTCCGCCAAATTTGAGTTGGGATGTTACGATTTCGTATATCTGATAAGAGTTTTTCCGGCGGTTACAGGTGTTGGAGTTGGCCGGAAATGCTGCCCGGGACAACAAGAGGAACAGGATCATCCCGAGGCACATTCTGCTGGCTGTGAGGAACGACGAGGAGCTCGGGAAGCTGCTGACCGGCGTGACCATCGCCCACGGCGGCGTGCTACCAAATATAAACCCTGTTTTGCTGCCGAAGAAGAAGGAATCCGACGTCGCCGGAAAGGAAACCGGTTCAGGAAAAAAGGCGGCCAAGTCTCCGAAGAAGGCCGCCGCTTAGCCGGTGTTGAATATAGCTTCGGATTTAGGGTTAAAGCTGTTTTTAGTCGATATAAATATGAATATTAATGTCTTCTTCTGTTTAGATCTGGTGTAAAAGCTTGATTATGTATTAATGAAGCTCCTTGTTTCTATAATGGACGGCTTTAATTTCGTTTCTTGTTCGATTAATTTGTTCGATTAATAAGAGAATATACATTTTTAAATTGGAAAATGAAGAAGAATGCAAGAGCTACGACATTTTTAAATTAGTTATAAAATATATAAAAGCATTAAATATTGTAAAAGCCGAACTGAAAAAACTAAAACGGAACAAAAAAAACTGAACCAAACAGTTTTTATTCTGTTTTTGTTTTTGGTGTTTGAAAATTGAACCGAACCATTTAAAACTGAATTCTACTAACGCTTTTCCAATTTTTCTTTTTAATTCTCCAGTGGTTATTTTTGGGATGATGAAATGAAAGTCTTGTTTATATTTCTATAATATGGTCTTCAATTTAAGCTTTATATTTTCTCTTTTGGTTTTTAAATTTTTTTTTGCTAATGAAAGTCTGGGTTAGAACTGCATGTTGTCAAATACGGTAATTTTTTTCTTTCAATTACTCGGTAATTTTTTATAGTAATTTCATAATTGGTCCTTATAATTAGAGAATTTTTATTATTTAGTCTTCAATTATCAAATATTACCTCGATGATCTTTTTTTATGAGTACCTTTTCATAGATAGTTTTTTATGTTCTGTTATATTGATGTTAATTTTATGATTAAAAGTTTAATTTCACAATCATGTATTTTTCTTCGCATACACAATTTTACAGTCACTTTTTACTACAACCATAGTCTACAGATATAGGCTTTCGTCGAGATCTTACCATTATTCCTGTGTTGTATGTCTAAACGACATTAGAATATGTCACTGGACATAAGATTGATGTTAAACTATACTTTTAGCTTTCAAATTAATACTAACATGATAGGTCAAAAAAGACTATTTGTGAAAAGGTATCTGTAAAAGGACCACAGAGGTACTATTTGATAAAAGATGACTAAATATGAAAAATATCATGTTATGTGCACCTAAGGTTCACGGTGAACCTTTATATATTTGAATAAGTATTTTCAAGTGTTGACATAAATATTCTAAAAAATTAAAAAAATTTGTGAGAAGATTAATGTGGACCGTATGTCCACCATAGAATTACTCTATGAAATTTACTGTTTTTTATTTGTTTGGTAAAAATTATAACAATGTGACCCTTCTTCACAATTCTTTGCTAGATTGATCACCACAAAATCTACTAGTGATAGTTTTACTTCCTTTTTATATTTAGAGTATACTTTTTAATACCACCCGCTTAGTCATATTCCTCATGTCATTAAAAAAGAATCTAATATTGCATCTTATATACTCCATATATATCGATTTATTTTTAAAATTAATAGTTTTTACAATAAAATTAATTTTTTTAAACCTAAAAAAACAATAAAAGAACCAAATTTTAGTTGCAATAAACCAAATCGAATAACACATGACTTTCGAAGACAACTGCCAATCTGGTTTTGCCTAAAAATTGAACTAATAAAACAGAACCCATCCCTACTTTAAAGTCTCTGTCGGTGAGCGTTACGCAGTTGATAAATGCAAAGAGTGTTAAATAGGTGAGACCTGAGTTTGAATCCTAATAATTGTGCTGGGGGCAATTATGCTAAATATAGAATCTCTACAAATACTAGATGCAGACTCAGACTCAGTCTTTCCCACCAAACTACAATAAATCTAATTTATATTCTCTAACTAATTTTTCGGGACTCGTCTTTTTTGTAAAATCTCTTCCTTCCAAGCCATTGTTTGGTGAGAATTAAAATCTTCCATAGAGTATCAGAGCTCATTTGATTACTGAGTCGAAAACTGAAAATGGCATGGAGAGGACAACTCTCGAAAAATCTCAAAGAGCTTCGGATCCTATTATCTCCCCATTCAAATTCCAGCGCTCCTTTGAGGTACAAAGATCTTTAGTTTTCCCTATTCTGTTCTATAAGTTATAATTACTATGCGCAGTTGTTTCGAATGTAGGGCTTTTGTTGAGAAGAACTACAAGGAGCTCAAGACCCTCAACCCTAAATTACCCATTTTGATCCGGGAAGCCACATCCGTTGAGCCCCAGATTTGGGCCAGATACGGTAAATTTCCTATCTTTGGCCGATTTTTTTTTAATACTTTCTGTTTTGTAATGAACCTGATCTAGTTGCAAATAGGAAGAAATCGAGGGAGATTACAGGGACAAAATGAGAGGGGAGTGGGAGCGAAATTAGGGAGGAGGAAGAAAAAGATTCGAGAATGAAATTGATAGAGTTTCTTTCAATAATCTGGATAAAGAATGGAACTGCGAAAGAGGTTTGAGTAGAGAAATAAATTCAAAAGGAAATATACGGAGTATTATTCAACTGCTGCAGCCATGAGCCACCATTGTGAAATGTCATCTCCAGCTATTCAAAAAGTCACATTGGTAGCATACAAAACTAAAGGTCTTCAATTATTTGTCTTACCTCTACCAGAAATTAAAATTATGTTTTCTTGAAATGATCCTCGCGTTCAATGATTAGCATGAATTCCCTTTTCAAGCCACTCAAATTCTCAAGGTTGTGGGTTCAGACTTTGAGTGGAGGTCAGGTGCTGGTGATAGTACTCTAAAGCACACAGGACAATACCACCTGTTCAGTATAAGCGTCTCTGAAATTTTGCATACCTAGTTGTACGTTGGAGTATTTCGATGGAACAGATTTGAGATCTTTGACCCACATAATCTTATCAAAATCACTCTTTCACTTATTTAGTTTTTTTTCCAAAATAATGGCTTCTTAAAGTCAGCTGCTGCCTAATTCCACAGCATTCTCTCACAATCTCTGTGCTATCCCACTACTGATTTCCCTCAACGCTTGAAAAACATGAAGAAGTACGCAGTACCTACGCCTATTGCGCTTGTTAGTTTGAGACTCTTGACACCTTTCTCATAGTTAGTATCAATTTGGGGTGTGGCAGTGTGGGAATCTTATGAACCAAAATCTTTTCAATAGTCTTAGTTGAATCTATTGTACCCAGTTGTTCCTCCAAGCCCTGCAATCCAAGAAACCTCTGGCTAATTGTCATCCTTGGCAACCCTCCTTTTTAACCTAAAAAAATGTGGAGTATTTTTCTACAGTAGCACATAGAAATAGTTCGAGCATAACCTTAAATATGTCGTGCAATTTTGTTCCCACTTAGTAGCTCTTTTGTTCTTCGTCACCTGATCTATTCTGTACTTTGTTCCTCTGTACTTGTCTTTACTAAGAGAACATGTTTGAAAAATACACTACCTTTGTTTGACAAAATTTACAGAGCTTAATAAAGCTTTTTAAGACAGAAAATTGCTTACTCATCAGTTGCTGCTTTTCCTTAAGCGCTACACATCCTCGACGTACCAAATGTCTCAGACCATGTGCAAGCCAACCAGCTGTGCACAAGACCACGAGGTTTATAAAAGATGCTTTTGTAATTATTACCAACTACATGTGATCATTTCCATTTTATTGCTTTGCACTAGTATAAATCTTATGGCTCTACTTCTTGATTAAGTATTATCATTTGGACTCTGTCGCAATGAACCCACTTACCCACATGTATTAAGGTCAATAGGACAGTGGGTCCTTACGGATTTGATGAGATATGCCCTCATGATGGGTACATCTAAACTAATGACAAGTCATTTCCTTAATCCCAAGTAGCAATCCATATCTAGTGTTGTCTCGTGCATCTTTAATGTGCACCGACATTGTACCAGTATTCTCTGCTAAACCTTGAGAAAGCCCAATTACCTTTCTAAGAAATTGATGTCCATCCTGTTATATCAACGCCAAGGAAGAATTTCACTCAACTGCTTAGTCGTTTATCTCACTGGATCCTTTTCATGACCATACCCCATTAAGATATCATGTATGTATGTCTCAACCAGTGTCTTGCAATGTTACTGTAAAATTCCCTTTTCAATAGAACTCAACACATTCTGGTTCTCCATTATTGGCCCACAACCCACTGTTGAGTCACAAAGCATCATATTTTATTCCCTCATTTCTTAGCACTTTTTAGATACTTAAATGCATTTTATACCTAAATATTTGTATTTTCTCATATTTAGCAATTTAGGCCATTGTTTACATTTTGTTTATAAAGTGCATGTTTTTGAACAAATTTATATTTTACAAATATCTTGGAGTATCATTTTCCATGACATATAATTTTTAGATATACTTTCGAATCTACAAAGTTGAGGAAGATAATAACATCAAACAATGGAGCTTAAACTTATTGAAGGAATTAAGGAAGACAGAATTGGACTGAACCAAAAGCTAGACTTGATCCAATTAATATTCTGATCCACCCATTTAACCATATTGACAAATAAATAAAACAATAAAATAAAAATAAGGGAAGAAGCGTTGGGCAACAAAGAAGATAAATAGAGCGCAAGAAACGGATTGCACAAGTCTTCTTCAATTCAAACTCTTCTGATTTCAATTATAAAAAGGAGACTTGCACTCAGTTGCGG